GTTTGAAAAACCAGATATAAGAGAGAGGCTGAGGATCTTTTTCAACGAGTAGAAGAGCTCTAACTTGCAGCATGTCCAAAGCACGAAGGCTTCTAGAACTGATTGTCAGCTAAAGGCTGTTTCCAGCAGGAGCTGTTTCCAGCTAGGGGTTTCCAGCGGAGCAAGGCAACTTTTGTTTATGATCGTTAGAAGGTGGCCACACATGGAACACAAAAAACGAGTTGCCATTTCTAGGATGCCACGAACTCTCACAGTGTGTCGACGCGTTGGAGTCTTGCAAAGCAAAGCAATCCCCTTTCATCATTCGTGCCGGGGTGTGGAGGGCTCGGATCTGTCCGCTTCTTGCTAGACTTCTTTTTTGGGTGCAGCCTTGGCGTTGTAACAACCTCTCATTTCGGGCGGATGAAGCGATGGCCTCCGAAACGAGCCGCGGCATCAAGCTTGGTCGAATGTCCAACCAATGTTTGATTTTGCATCGGATTCTTGCAAATCGATTTTCGGGTATGCTTTTTAAATTCTTTTCTTTAACCTCCGGCTGATGGCATGGGCCACTGCTTGCTGACAGCCCTGTTTGCTTTGACTTCCGGCTCAGGGGTACAACTTCTTCATTGGAGAAGGCGTCGATGACTCATGTCACTTGTGGGCACTTTCCAGCTTTGGAAAATTTCTCTTTTGCTTATTGGAATGCAATGTGACGACCAGACGTGCACAAACATCGGTTGGAAGGTTTGGCGTGCGCAAAGCACGTATGCTCGATTGTACGACCAAAGCAAAGCAGACATCAGTTGTTGGATGATGCAGACAGTTTGGAAAGGTCCTTCGGTGTTTTTCAAATTGCAGCCGTTCAAGCTGGTTTTACAGAAAATGGAACACTTTGTTAGCAGTAGCTTTCGGGGACACGAAGTGTATCAGCATGCCGGCTGCACGTGTTCCAAAAATGGTTGGGCTTCCAGGCGTGCGCAAGTGGCTTGAGATGGCGCGTGTCAGTAGCTGGTTTTATATAACACATCTTTTTCAAACAATCATCGTGCATGGATTATGTGTGTCAGGTTTTGGCGGTTGTTGAAAAGCGGAAAGTTGTGTGCTTTGGACCCGTGAACTCATGCTTCAGTATCTGATTGATTGAATGTTGGTTTTTAGTCTGTATCAGGGTTTGTGGGGGCTTGCCCACAAGCTGCAGATCCGTGATGCAAGGTGAGGTCCGAGACATGCTGGGAAAGCATGTGCAACCTGGGCGTGCAAACGAAGCGAGGCCTTGACCCCATTAGCCTAAACATCTCGTCACGTTACGATCATTCGGAGGATATCTCGACCGTTCGTTCGAAGTTCCGAAGTGCAGTGAACCAGTACCAAAACATTCAACGACAAAAAGGCTTTCGCACAGCGCCGTGTCTGTGACGATCATCCTTCTTTCCCCCGACTCCCTGCATTTTTGTTGCCGCTCTGGCTCCTTGTGCTGGGCAGAAGAGGGACTGCATTGCCTGAAGGTTGTGCAGGCCGGGATGCGCTGAATTGTGTCTGCAATCAATGTGCTTGGAATGCAATGACACAAGAAAGAGCCGGGAGCTGCAAGGACGGTCTCGGCGACTTGGGGATTCGAAGGTTTTCATGTTGAGTCTCTTTACACAGAGTCTTTCAGATCCTGACCACAGCCCTCAACTCGAAAGCAACGGCTCTGAACAAAACTTCAATTGCCGAGCTTGTACATGCCTTGTTAAAGGAACGTCGTTGGCCAACGCCATTTCTTGAATTCCACATATACATCATGTCAGAGTGTCAGTGTGACAGGGTTGTCTTTGCAGTTAACTTCTGAATGGTACGACAATCAATGGTGTATGTTCAATGGCAATCCAGTCATTGTAGCAATGATGCTGGCAGGCTTCGCTAGATATGCGGGTGGCTCGTGCCAGCGCCGACCACAGCTGGGTGAAGAAATTTACTGCCATGCGCATCCTGATTGTGATTCCGCTTATTGCAGTAGATAGCGTTGGGTACGTTGCCATGCAGGTTCTTTCCTTCTCGGGTTCCGACTGCTGGAGTGAAGTGTTCTGCAGGCAGTTTGAGCCCGTTGGCCGAGGTGTCGTGTTTGTAGTTGGCGTGGTCGCCCTTGTCGTCCCGCATCGTGGCTGCAAGACCGTGGAACCTCGTTCCACCATCTGACATGCTAAAGAGGCTAATGAGACCGTTTGAAGTCTCGGCTTGCTTGAGCAAAGCCGTCCCACCACGGCAACGTCAGATTCTGTCGATCGAGATGCTGCCAAAACCAAGGTCCCTCAGTTTTCTGCCCGGTGGCTCCCGGCCGACTGCGGTCCCTCCCTTGCAGTCTTGCACAGTTCAGGTGTTCCCAGCGCACGAGGAGCAGTCGTTCGTTCTGCTGCTTCCACATGCCCTGTGGTACAACCCGAAGTCTTTACTCTTTACAGTTCAGGGCTTCAGAGCACAGCGGTCCTTCCGCTGCTAAGAAGATAATCGCAAAAGTCTCGCCGCCCTGTGTCGCCCGCCGCGAGCTGCAGCCAGAAAGTCGCATGGCACATGCGTCTAGGAACCAAACCAGGGCATGAGCTGCATGATGCCATGTTCTTTGAATGCGCCGCCACGAAGCAGAAAGCCATAATATGCAGGAAAGAAAAATGGTGATCCCAGATCCCGAAAGTAGGAGCCAAGACCTGACGCCAGGCGTCACCCCTCAACCTCACAGCCTCCTAGCGTGGACCGACAGAAGCTTTTGCGAGAGACGAGAGGGAATTCAGAATTGGCATGTTCCTTTGGATCGAAGATGGCACCGGCAGCAATGAGGCCGGACCGCAGTGTTGTGGGTGTGCTTCCGGGGTTTGCAGCTTGGTGTGATGTTGGAGTCGTGGAATAGTCTTCGGATTTGGAAGCAGAGGCTAAAACATCGAGCAAACGAACACCCAGTTCAAGATATGCCTGCGTGCTTACCCCAGCCCCGAGTTGCAGCATTCCGCTCGCACAGCAAAGGGCGGCTTCCTCTTTTGATGCTTGCTTCCGGTATGGGGTTCGAGGGATTACAGCAACCTTGGCCAGGTGCAGGAGGAGGGCGGCAGTGGTGTTTCGCCCGAGATGCTTGGCTGTCGTTCAGACATGCTTCCATGTTGTGGCTTCTGGCCAGTGGCCGTACAGTCTGTCCATGGCTCTTGTAGGAAGAGGAAGAGGACTTATTATCCGCTGTTCCTTGACCAGGGACGAGGACTTCGAGCAGTTTTCGCCGCAACCTCGCCAGAGAAGGCTTCGTTGTTCGCAATTTCTTCTGTCAGTTCTGTTGCAGTGGCAGGCTTCGGGTAGAGGCATGCTTCAGTTTTGGCTATTTGAGTCCATGTGCCGGGCGGCATCAAGCCTGCAGAATCTGAAAACTGCTTTTGCATCGGACAAAAGGAACTCGCAGAGTTCACGACGATCATCTCGTGGCTCGCGACAGTCGAGGCATCCCTTCTGTGCGGTTGCGCGGTGTCGGGCACAGACAGGCCTTAAACGCTGTATTCAAAAGCTCTACTAGTAGGGCCCTTAGAGGGGTAAACTGGGACAGGCGATCTCAGACCTCGCGAGCCTCGAAGGACCGCCTCTGGATGTGAAGCTTGGTTCTTGCGGTCATGTCTTATTACGCGTATTTCGGGATATTTATGACCATTTCTACTATGTTCGATTTCTGTTCTTGTTGATTGTCATTGCTTTTGGTAGAGCTTCTGTTCTAGATCTGGTTATTGACGCGAGTCGTGCTAGCACAGCAGAAACGATTGGTTTTTCCCGAACGATCATCACCAACTGTAGCCGCGAACATGAGGTTCTTGCATGGGGGGCTTGTTACGTTTTCAAAAGAGCCTATATGTTCGGTTCTTCCGGAAAAAGCAGTGTCAGTAGTGGCTTCACCATACTAGAAGGAAGAGCAGGAAGCATAATGGCAAGGCCGGAAACACGACGAATGGGAATCTAATGACAAAAAATAACAACCTAAAACAACACCCTTGGCACGTAGCAATAGCCAGACCAGCTTGGGGTTGGGGTTCGGGTTTGCGTGGGTGCATCATACTGAGTTGAGTTGTTCTTGGCTGCGGACTGTTGGATTTTTTGTTGCTGGCGCGTGATGTATGTATTGCTTTCGTGTTGGTTGGCAACACAGCTTTAAAGACCTGAGTGCAGGGTGACCAAAGCCGTACAGCTTGCGCTGCAGATCCTGAAGAAGTAGCTGCGAAGCTTGAGCGGGGTTGAATGCTGCAGCTGATGTCTGAGCCGTTGTTTTGCGATTTTGCCGCAAGGCCGCTGACAGCCAGAAGTCAGAAGAACGAGAGTTAGTGTAACCGCAACAGGAGTCTCCAAGTGGAGACCAAGCCCGGCAGAAGTTCGCCACTCGTCTGGAGAAGAGTTTTACTCCATGTCGCCTTGGACTTAAGGGGGAAGATTCCTTGTGTCTTTTTTTTTTTGGACCTGAAGCCTCAAAGCTCGCTCTCTCAGCGACGGATGCAAGTGTCGTCAAGCGGAGCTGAGGCAGACAGGACCTCCATGGGCTCTGCCTTCTCCGCGGCTTCGATCTTCGAGACCTATCGGCCTCGGGAGTCCGAGCAACTCGGCGACGATCCTTTAGGAAGTGGTCGTGCTGCGGGATGGCCACAATGTGGCCCGAATCGGCTCTGAAAGCCTGTGCAGCTGTGAGCGCAGTGCCTGCAGCATTCTCCCGGCTTTTGTCTCCTTATCTCAGGAACGGGTGGCAGATCTGCAGGCCACTCGCTCTGTGGATTGTCTCCATTGTGGCGACAGCAGGCCCCAGCTAGGATTGCAGGACACGTTGGGTTGCAGGTCATTGCAGGTTCTCTAAGTTGAAGCCGTGCAGCGAGGCATCTCGGTGCCGATGTACACGGTTGGGGACTTCGTCCTCACTGAGGGCTCCTTCGGTTACGACACACAGGCCAGTATAGGGTTGGGTAGTCAGGGATCCAAAGCCTCGAGGCTTGGTGCATGTCGTTGACTTCGGGGAGTGGGCGAGACCATGCTCTTTTGCCTTGCACTTCCCCCGTGCGATACAAGGGATCCGAACAAACACCCGTCAGGTGAGTGACCCAGGCATATCGCAGCTGCAGCGCTGGCGCCATGCGGCGCGCCTAACAAAGCGCGACGTGGGCCTTGGCCTGTCGGCAGGTGGGAGGGCGCCTGAGGGTTGTTCAGGGTAAGTGGATAGGACGAATAGGATGGCGGCTTTGCCTCAGTGGGGGTTGTGATGCTTTCTTGACCGGTCTCACATCTTGAAATGTCGGATTTGTGCAGCAGTTCGGCTTTCGTCAAAGCGCTTGTTTCCAGCAGTCCTGGGGCAACATGTGCATTGCTGACAAGGCCCCATTTGTTTATTCGTTTGTGTGTGTGTGTGTGGGCGCGTGTGTGCTACATACGACGAGCAGGCTTTGGACATGACCCCACATCAGTCTGCATAATTCTTGCATGAAAGGAGCGGCTTCAGAAGGGGTCTGACGAGGGGTCAGGTGGTCACACCTCCCAGACTTAGTCCCTGGCCCACAGATCTGCCGGACACATTGAACGACAATGTCACCTGGCGTCGAGTGGTGGGCGGCTGAGTACTGTCCTGGCTATGACGACGGGCAAGCACTGGCGCATGGGGACTAAATTTCACAAGAACAAGCCGAACTCTGAACCTGGAGAACTTCCGGACCCCAGGCGCTGATTTATCAGTTGCCGGGGCAAGATGCCGTCTCCGACGTTGGCCTGCAGCGTGCCAAGGCCACGGCCAGGGCTTCACAGTTGGAACATGGTAATGAGAATATTCGCGGTAAACTGTGAGAGAGACAGTAGTCGTCACCATCGTCGTCGTGGTCTGTCGTGTGGTCTGTGTCGGATGTACGGGTTCGGTTGGGTTTGGCAGTATAGTAAACTCACGTCAGACGCATGCACAACAGAGGGTATCCTGTCCACAATACTCAAAATCGAAATAACAAGCATGAAACCAGTCTCAAAGGCAAGCGGAAAAGCAACAGCAGCAGCAACGACCACGAGCCGAAGTAGTTGTCCAAACTAGCCTTCTTGTACTTACGTGTGTTTGATAGTGCTTATCCGTATCGTCCTCAATGCAAAACATCGTCTTCCGCACCTGCTGTGGTCGTAGCAACTGCAGAGCTGGGCGTCAGCACAATGAAACATTGGTTTCTCGCAGGCAGTGGAGGATTCGCTGAGATCCCTCAGAGGCTCGGGCAGTTGGGCTTGAGGACTTTCGGACCTCAATTCGCAGTTGGGTGTGCGTGCAGAGGTATGCCCGAGATATTTTTGCGTGAAGGCTGGCAGAGGCTGTGTGGCGAGATGCCAGCAAGTCTCTCGGAAGCATTGCGCCGCGTGTCAACATGTCAGCAAGTGGCGTTTTGGGTCACGATTTCGCGTTGTGCCATGACAGAGACATTTGTGATGCACTGGTCGTCGGTTTCAGGTTATCAGGGCCTATGCCGGGAAGGACATGGAGATCATAGGTTAATCAACACCTCAACAACTATCATCGGTTGGATTAACGTTTGGTTTCTGTCCCTGAAGCTTGTCTCCTTCATGTCTGTGGGCACCTGTCTGCACGTTTTGTTGATAGATTGCTGAGTGCTCCGAGTCCATGCCAGAGCCAATAGCACTGCTGGGAAGGGCAGCTTCTCCTGTCAAGTCCCTGCTGGTCAGGAGACTCCCTGGTGTCTGCTTCCTTTGCCATGAGGGCTCAGGCCGCTACAAGCTTTAAGGTCCCGAGGACTTCCGGGCTTGTGGTGCCTAAATGGGTATGCAGTCAGGCCCAGCCGACAATCATTAAAAGAATCGTGAGTGGGTGAGTGAGTGAGTTAGTGAGTGATGGATGGATGGACGGATGGACGGATGGATGGATGAACGGACGGATGGATGTGTGGATGGACGAACGGACGGTCGCATGGACGGATCGGTAATGGATGGACGGGGCGTTCAATGTTGGGATGCTACTCCTTCTGCACGAGCCGCGCAGGTGTCTCCCTCGGAGGTGGCCCTTGGGGTCTCAGCCAATCTGGCCCTGAATGCGAACAGCAGCCAGGCGTGGAGCAGATTGCTAAATGATATTTAATGATAGATGATACATCGACAGATAAAAGGACGAAGAAACTTGAAGAGAGATTGGACAACACACGCACACACATATATATATATATGTACATGTGTAGAGTTTGGCAGG